CTCCCTCCTCTAAAATCCATGTGTGCCTTATTTGGACCCAGGATTCACCATTCACTTCCTGGTACCCAGCTGCCCCACCCCCAGAGGTGGCTGCAATTCAGTGTTCACAGCCTTACCGTTCTGGTAAAACACAGGCTGTTTACTGCACTGGGTCCCTGTTTCTGAAACCCTTCGCTGCTGCTCTGTATCCCCTCTGGCCAGCGCACAACCATGCCCCCCTGTTACTATACCTCGGGGCATCAGAAGAACATGAAGGAGGGTTGCTTCCAAAATGAATGAATAGTTCAACCAGCTTTAATTTATATCTAATATCTGCACCGGGATTTCATAAAATCAGAGGAATGTAGGGTAGAAGGGGCCTCGAGAAGTCATCAAGTCCAGCCCCTTGCGCTGAGGCAAGGCCGAACAGACCTAGACCAGGAGAGTTAGTTTGTGTGTGTGGTTTTTGGAGGGAGGTGGGGGGGGGGGGTGAGAAAACCTGGATTTGTGCTGGAAATGTCCCACCTTGATTATCATACACATTTTAAAGAGAGTGGTCACTTTGGATGGGCTATTACCAGCAGGAGAGTGAGTTTGGGGGGGTGAGAAAACCTGGATTTGTGCTGGATATGGCCCAACTTGATGATCACTTTAGATAAGCTATTACCAGCAGGAGAGTGGGGTGGGAGGAGGTATTGTTTCATGGTCTCTGTGTATATAATGTCTTCTGCAGTTTCCACAGTATGCATCCGATGAAGTGAGCTGTAGCTCACGAAAGCTCATGCTCAAATACATTGGTTAGTCTCTAAGGTGCCACAAGTCCTCCTTTTCTTTTTGCGAATACAGACTAACACGGCTGTTACTCTGAAACTCATCCCTGACAGGTGTTTGTCCAACCAGTTTTTAAACACCGCCAGTGATGGGGTTCCACAACCCCTCGACCGTAATCTATCCCACTGCTTAACGAGCCTTTGAGTCAGACTGTAATGCCTAATATTGTCTAACCTTTTTCACTGGTCTGCTAAGTGTGCTTCACAGTCCCACACTACACACACATTTTGTATCAGTATTACTGTCAGTTAGGAGGGTGATTTTATTTATTAAATGTTTGTTTTTTACTGATAGTGTTATTCCAGTACACCCCCTAGTGTGAAAGCAGCTGTACCGTTGTGCGGGGATAGCTTATTGCCCCTTCCATGCTGGACTATGATATATTCGTGCAGTAAAACCTCAGAGTTATGAACACCAGAGTTACGAACTGACCAGTCAACCACACACCTCATTTGGAACCAGAAGTACGCAATCAGGCAGCAGCAGAGACCAAAAAAAACAAAAAAGAAAAAAGAAAAAGGACAGTGCTATGTTAAATGTAAACTACTAAAAAAAAATAAAGGGAAAGTTTAAAAAAAGATATGACAAAGTAAGGAAACTCTTTCTGTGCTTGTTTCATTTAAATTAAGATGGCTAAAAGCAGCATTTTTCTTCTGCATAGTAACGTTTCAAAGCTGTATTCAGTCAGTGTTCAGTTGTAAAGTTTTGGAAGAACCACCATAAAGTTTTGTTCAGAGTTCTGCACTTTTCAGAGATACCAACAACCTCCGTCCCCAAGCTATTCGTAACTCTGAGGTTTTACTGTATAAGGAATTTATACTGGTATAACTCCATCCACACTTGCCTAATGGTGCTCCCTGTCCTTTTACTATTCTGGTATAGTTAAAGCCATACAACTTTTATGGCTGGACAAGTGAAAACATGGGTCTTTTATTTAAACCAGTGACTTAATCTTAAATAATCACCACATTTTAAGTTATGAACCCCATACGGAAAAATGGATCCCTATGTTACACGTGTGGTACTTGAAAATTATTCAGAAACAATAATCATAGAATCATAGAATCATAGAATATCAGGGTTGGAAGGGACCCCAGAAGGTCATCTAGTCCAACTCCCTGCTCAAAGCAGGACCAATTCCCAGTTGGTACTTCTGGTTCCAAATGAGGTGTGTGGTTGACTGGTCAGTTCGTAACTCTGGTGTTCATAACTCTGAGGTTTTACTGCACGAATATATCATAGTCCAGCATGGAAGGGGCAATAAGCTATCCCCGCACAACGGTACAGCTGCTTTCACACTAGGGGGTGTACTGGAATAACACTATCAGTAAAAAATGTGAAGAGTAGGAAACAAAGTTGTTTGCAAAGAGTAAATTTACTACCAGATACCAAAAAAAAGCAAGAAATGGGAATTACAGACAGAACCAATATGACAATGCTGTAAACCCAATTCTCTTAATGGGAAAGGCTTGGGATGCAACAGATATTTGCCATGTTTTTTGTTCTGTGCATATCTATGAAATTTTCCCTACAGACATTTCTCATTTCCTTCATGTTCCCAAATTTTTCCTTGCTCCATGCAGGAAGCAATATGTACCAGGCTCAAAGCAGGGTTTCCTTTCTTTAATTTCTGCCATTATAACTACTTCTATTTCTTACTGCAAAAGACTAAATTCCCTTAGAAAGGAGGGGGGAGCCCCCTTGTGAGCAGCCTGATAAGGGGGAAGGTGGGTAACTTTATTACAATGATGCTTTCTAACTGGGAGCAGGATTCTGCCCCTGGTGCTCTCATGCCACATTGGAGTTTTTGCTTCCAGGAGGGATTCTGAGGGAGTCCTCCAGGGTAAGAGTCAAGAAGCTATGGATGGAGGTTTGGGGGCTCAGCACCCATAACTGGGGTAGGGTTGCCACCTATCTAATTGCTGGTAACTGGACCCCTAAGGCCCCACTTCTTCTCCCAAAGGCTCCACCCCTTCTCCGCCTCTTTCCCCCAAAGCCCCGCCCCTGTCCCTTGCCCCTCTCCCTTGCTGGGTTGTCTCAAGGAGCCTGCCTGAAGGTAGGAGGCAACCCTCGCCCCATGGTAACCTGGCTTTTGGTTCTGGTGCCATAGCGTTGCCAGGTCCCCTTTTCGAGTCGACTTTCCTAAATGGCACCCAGACACAGAAGCCAAAAACCTGACTGTCTGGGTAAAACCCAGACGGGTGGCAACCCTAAGCTGGGGGGTCAGATTCTCTAAACTCCCATTGAGGCACCTAAATAAACAGGCAGATTTTCAGGCAAGCTCAGCACATGGGATGCATCTGAATGCTGGGCACTTCAGAAGATCTGGCCCCAACTATGAGCGTTGAGCATCCTGAAAATCTGGACCTCCATTCCTTTAAAAAATAATAATAATAATCTGGCTCTATGCGACTAGCAGAAACCTTTCATAAAAACAGAGTCCTTCTACCGGGTGCTCTCACATTCTCCCAGCTCAGAGCATGCTCAGCTATCACTGCTTGTGTGGATGAGTGGGTTCTGGTCTCCGCACTGGGAATCTGGGATTCCAGGCGGATGCTGCACAAGAATTCAAGGCAGGGAGCTGTTTTTATGACATCCTTCTTGTCCTCCCTGGAAGGAACCAACCAGGGCCTGGGCCCGAACCTGATGTTAAGGCTCTTGCATTTATCAGATGCATAAGTAAAGTTAGGCCTGGTCTACACTTAAAACTTGGATTGGCCTCACTACGTCTCTCAGGGCTGTGAAAAATGTTGTCTCCTGAGTGCCGTAGTTAAGTCAACCTCACCCCAGCGTAGACGCGGCTAGGTCGATGGAAGAATTCTTCTGTTGCCCTAGCTGCCAGCTCTTGGAGAGGTGGATTGACTCTGTTAACGCAAAACCCCCTTCCATTGATGTTGGAAACATTTACACTACGGGGCTCCAGCAGCAAAATTGCAGGGCTGTAGCTTAGGGTGGCCAGGTGCCGGTCGAACAGGGGACCTGACAGTGTCCAATCAGATCTAAGTCCAGTTATTGCGGGCGGGGGAAGCGGGGAGGTGCTGGGCCATCACCCGTACCAGCCCCTACTCAGCTGGGGCACCTCCTACCTGCATTGGGGGACTACCGCTCCCAGCCCCGGCTCTGCAGGCGAGTCCCTGACCCAGGTGGCCGGGGGTGTGTGTATGTTTGTGTGTGTGTGTGTGGGAGAGAGAGACAGACAGGGGAAAAGCAGTGAGTGACAGGGGGAAGTGGGGAAGAGGAGTGGATGGGGCGGGGCCTCAGGGGAAGAGGTGGAGCAGGGGTGGGGTCTTGGGGGGAAGAGGCAGGGAGGGGAAGCTCCAGCCCTCCTGCTGGACCGTCCGGTTTTTAAATATTACCAAGTTGGCAACCCTACTGTAGCTCTTCCGCTGTAGTGTAGAAGTACCCTCAGGGACTCTGGTCAGGGGAAGGATCCCACCAAGGGCACAGGGATGTGATCCTCACCTTTCCACTCATCATAAAGTGAGTGTAATTCACACGGAGTAACCACACCCCTGCCCCTTTCATCTCTTCTCTTTGTTCTCAAATCCCGCCCCCCTTCCCTAGCTTCCCACCTCCAGTCCACATCTTGTCTTCTCTGGGTTTCCCTTCCCTGCTCACCATTTCCCTCCCCATCTCCACTTCCTCTTTCTGGGCTTCTCTCTCCACACCCCATTTCCTTCCCTCTCCCCCACCCCAGGTTCCCCCTCTCTCATACTCTGAGCTGGCAGACAGCCAATCCTAGGGAACCTGCAGAAGTTGGAGCGGAAACAGGCCAGACAATCCCTGAGAGAATGGCCTGGGCCACACTTAAAAAGTTAGGTTGACACACTGCGTCAGTCAGGGTTGTGAGGAAAAAACAACACACACCCGGATGCGGTAGCTATGCCAACCTAGCCCCCAGCATGGACACAGCTATGGCAACGGAAGTAGGCTTCCATCAACATGGTTCCCTTCGCTTGGGGAGGGGGAGTTCCTAGACCAACGGCAAAGCCCCTTCTGTTGGCATCGGCTGAATCTACACTATGGGATTATGCCAGCACAGGTGGTGGGTGGGGGTGGGGGTTAACTATTCCGCAAACATCCCTGTAGTGTGGACAAGGCCAATGAGTTTGGCCTATGTAACCCGGTCATCTCCTTCTGTCAAGGACGCTCTCAGTACAGAGCCTCGAGGCCCTGTGTTACCCTATGATTCAGGGGAGTAGCCTGAGGTGCGTTTGCATATCCCCAACCCGGAAAAAAGGGAAGATTTTCTCCCCTGTAAAAGAAGCTGGTAGGAATGAAAATATCATGGCCTCTTTATCAAAATCTATAAATTTCACCAACCCCTCTTCATACTCCAGATAAACCACAACCCTCGTAGGGCTTCTGCTCAGGGTCAGAAGAGTCACAGGGGAGGTTAGAACCCGGTACTGACCTCTGCAGAGCCCTATAGCCCAGATGCCCCCCTCAGGGTCCAAGCTGATTTCTCCCTTCCTCCTCACAGACTCTCTGGCCACCCCCACAGCCCAGTTTCCCCCGTCCCCCACTTCCACCATCCAGCAATGTCTCCCCGAGGTGAATCCCTCACAGCCCAGCACACAGCGAGAATGATCAAATCTCTTAGGACTGTAGGGCAGATCCTGCCGCGTGTCTCCCCACCTCACGCTTTTCTGTCTCTCGGACACGACGAATCGGGGATGTGCCGTGGCTGGATCAAAATACACATCTTTGAGAAAGAGAGACAGTCAGAGTGTTAGGGGCAAAGCTTAGCCCTGGGGGACGGTTTGATCGTGTCAGGGGCAGAATCTACCCCAGCTGGAGAGTGAATCAACCGGGAATCTACTTCCTCCACGATTCGCCCAGCTCTGAATGGGGAGCAACTCGGAGACATCAGCAAATTGTAGGGGAGAGGCATTCCCTTGGCACAGATGGGTCAGACATAGCGCGAAAGGATTCAGGACCCTCTTGCATGTTCTTGCACAGTGGGCCACGGGAAACGAGTGCGATTAGGCCACAGATCCTCTCTACACCCAGTGCAGCATTTTCGCTACGTTCCCCCCCATGGAAGGCTTGTTGAGCGAACCCCCCAAGCATGTTTTCCTGGCTGCGTGAACCGCACCAGGTTAGATGAGACCCACCAGCACACAGCGTTATCCTGCAGCCCTCCTTAAGGCGATGCTCTGACACCTGCAGCTTGGTCCATGCCTCCTGCTGTATATTGGCCACTGGCTTTTGTGTTATTGTATTTCAGAGGCGCTTTCCCTTACTCCAGAAGCCAGGGGCACGTAAATTAACTTTTCTCCTCGATTCAGGAAGATAAACACCTACAAACATTCAGTCTGGCGCCAGAAGTTTACCTGATTCCAACAGAATTTCACATGGCAGAGACTCTAGAAGAAAAGGAAAAAAAAACTGGGGGAGAGGGAAAGGTGAGATCTCCTGCTGCCATAGAGGATGGAAAGATTCCTAGAGTTTGTGTTACTGTAACGGGTTTAACTATCTGTGCCTGCGGATGTGTGTTTATAGAAACCATCTCAGTCTGTAACTCGGTGATTTACTGATGCAAGCTAGGCTGGGTTCAGAACGTGTTAAACTGATGGAAGTGCTTCTGCATTAGGGATTGCACGGATACTAGAGGATCACCCACATCAAAGTTTCTCTAGCACACTCCAGCGGCTCCTTTCAATCCTCCATCCCCTTCCCCCCATGAACTCCCTGTATGCTACCCTCCTATCCTCCTCTATTTCCCTGCTACCGTCCCCACCTATGTCATGCCTGGGGCCCTGTGTGTCCCCGCCATACCCCTCTCCACCACATACCTGAGTCCCCCAATCTCCCCGCCACCAGGAGTTCTGTGTGCCCCCCATTTCCCATACCAGAGGCCCCCATTCTCCCCTCCATGCCAGCAGCTCTGTGTGCCTTGCATTTCCCCCTAACCTCATTTCCATCTCACCTCAGCATGCCAGGAGCTATGTTCCCCCTTCTCCTCCATACCAGCGTCCCTCAATCCCTCCTTCCACTAGGGGTTCTGTGTGCACCCTCATACTGCCTCCCCAGTACCAGGGTCCCCCATTCTTTCCCACATGGCAGGGGTTCCATGTGCACCCCATTCCTCCCACCCCCATTTCCTTATGCATTTATATAGAGACATGCAAGAAAGAACAAGTGAATGGAGCCAACGTAATATGTAACCGGACTGTGGAAATGACTGACAGAAGGTCATGGAAGCCAGAAATTTAGTATACTTCTGAAAAGGACTGGACATGTATTATTAATATAATTATATAAATGTATGGTTAATTATTATTAATATCTATTAGTTATTATTACCATCTAGCTTGGAAGGATTAGATTTTTATTGGGAAATGGTGATAAACACTGATTTCACCGCACACACACAAACCAATGGGAAAAAATATTTCCATCAGTAAAAATCAAAATTTACAGCAAGGCAATGTGAGAAAAATGCTGCTCCAGACCTTCTTAGAGTTTGATTAAAGGGTATTTTCTTTGTGTACTTTGATATCTGATGTCAACAGGCCATGGTTTAACCATTACAAAAGCTTTAAACTTTTTGAATCTCAACATCTACTGTCATTACATAATTTTTGTCTGACCCCCCCACCCATAATACCATACAACTGTGAAAATTTAAATCAATAAAAATCTAATAAAAATGCTTAAAACGAAACATTAATCTGTCAAAATTACAGAAACAATTGAATGATGCCAAGATTTAATATCTCGCTCTTAGTGCTTTTGATCACTAGGTCTCAAAAGCTCTTTACAAATAACTTTATCCCCATTTTACAAAGAGGAAAAGTGATTTGCCTAAGGTCACCCAGTAAGCCAGTGGTAGAAACCACTCGGTCTCCTGCACTGCAGTCCAGTGATCTAGCCACTAGGCCAAACTGCTGGATAATAAGCTCACCAACAGCTATAGCATACGGGAGGGATATAAAATATTCTGTTACAGGTTTGATCCTAGTGTCTAACTACTGGGGATTAGGATGAGACCTTTGCAAACCAGGAGGGGAAAAAAATGGGTCAAACTTTTGTTTTGTTTTCGTTTAAAAAAAATATTGAAGGAAAATCCAAGCGAAAAGTAATACTGGCCTGAAAAATCAAAACTGTTTACTTTCAAAATGGTGAAAAGGAAACAGTGACTTTTTTCAGGATTTATCTTCTTTAGGTTTGTTTGTTTCTTCGCATTTATTTTTAGTTTTGTTTCCTCCCATTTAAAATAATTCCCCAACCAGTGGAACGAATTCATGAAATGTTTCGGTCAACCCAAATCTGCATTTTATAATGAAAAAGAAAAGAAAAGTTTCAGATGAAAAATTTCACCTAGTTAGGCTTGTGCTTAGTCCACGAGGCCACACTTCCTCTCAGACCAGGTCTACACTACAAATGTACACTGGTTTAACTACATCGCTCAGGAGTATGAAAAATCCACATCCCTGAGCGACACAGTTATACCGACCTAATTCCAGGTATAGACAGTGCTGTGTTGATGGGAGAAAGGGGCTGTCTTTCTGTGTTCCTGGGGGGTGCTCAACGCATGCTGCGCCCCAGGCCCTGCCCCCCAGCCACTCCTTCTCCCAAGTCACCACCCCCGCCCTGCCTCTTTCTGCCCCTGCTCTGCCCCCAAGCATGCCCTCGGTCCTCCTCCCCCACAGTGCCTCCTGCACGCCTCTGAACAATTGATCGTGGCGGGCGGGAGGCACTAGGGGGGAGGGGGAGAAGCTGATCCGTGGGGCTGCCCTGAGCATCCACTATTTTTTTCTGTGGGTGCTCCAGCCCCGGAGCACCCATGGACTCGGCGCCTATGATGTGAGAGCTTCTCCTGCCAACATAATCCACCTCCCCAAGAGGCGGTAGCTAACTATGCTGATCAGCGTAATAGCATCTACACTAAAGTGCTACAGCAGTGCAGCGTTTTAAGTGTAAACCTGCCGCCAGTCTGTTGTGTTTCCGTTTTCCTGCAGCTGGAGGTCCTACCAGCTGTTCAGCCAGTGGGGCTGGCTCAGCTGTCGGTGGCCAAGCGAGAGGGGGATTTTGGCGCTTCAGTGCATTCAGAGGCCGCATGAGAAGTGCATCCCTCCACAGCTGCAAACTGATCCAGGGTCATCCTCAAAAATAAGAGACAGCTGCCCGTGCTTCTCCTGGATTACTGAGGCCAGCCCTGCATGGTTGGAGTGCGGGCCATGAGTCAGCTGTGAGCTTCAGACAAGATCAGTGATAAGCTCTCAACCCCAGCGATCAGTCTCAGGATGAGGGTCTGTTACCTTTGAATTCCTTCACAGCATCCTGTAGCGATATGGTTTCTTGAGAGAGTTCTTGAAGTCTTCTTCTCCAGTCAGGAGACTCAGCTGTTGGATTCTGAAACTTCCCCTTCCCCATCTTACATCTAGAGAGAAAACAACCTACATCATCTTCATCTGAATGGTAATTGAGATCATAGGCGCTGACTCCGTGGGTGCTCCGGGGCTGGAGCACCCACGGGGAAAAATTGGTGGGTGCAGCAGCCAAGCTCCCCACCCCGCCCCGCCCCGCCATCTCAGCTCACCTCCACCTCCACCTCCTCCCGAGCGCGTCATGTCCCCGCTTCTCCTCCCAGTGCTTGCCGCCACGAAACAGCTGTTTTGCAATATAACAAGCTGTGGGAGGAGGGGGGAGGAGCGGGAATGCAGCATGCTCAGGGGAGGAGGCAAGGAAGAGGCGGGGCTGGGGATTTGGGGAAGGAGTCCAATAGGGGCAGGGAGGGGGCAGAGTTGAGGCGGGGACTTTGGGGAAGGGGTTGGAATGGGGGTGGAGCAGGGGTGGAGTCGTGGCGGGGCTAGGGAGGGTTGAGCATCCTCCGGTACCAGGAGAAGTTGGCGCCTATGACTGAGATGGAACAAAATTTGAGGGGCCCAGTCAGTACTTGGTCCTTGCTCATATGCATACAAATGGTCAAGCAAAATTGCAGCCTTTAGGGCTTGTCAACAAGGGGAATTATTCCAGAATAACTGTTCTGGATTAGCTTCCTGCGTGGATGCTCAGCTAATTCAGAATGAGGCATTCTTATTCTGGAATAAGAGCATTCACAGAGGGAGGTTATTGAGAATATCTAATCTGCTTTAAATTTACCCGACCTGAACCCACATTAACTTCCCAGTGTAGAAAAGGCCTTACTTTCTCCTGGAAGGATCAAAATATTTCAGGGTTGTTGTTGTCTTTCTACTGTGCTTGTATAACTCAAAACACGAAGTCATACTTACTGACAGCTCTGAATTAAGGGTCAAAGTTAAGGTTGTTTTTGGAAAATGTCTAATCAATTTTTTTTGCCTCTAGATTATTTGAAGAGCATGTCTGAATAAGAGAGTCCTTTATATATAGCCTGCCTTTCCCCAATCACTTTCATATTTTAAATATACAGAATTCCTTAATTGTAATATGACTGGCATCTACCTTTTTGTAACATCCCTGTCGCCTAGAGACACTAAGTTAACAAGGGCATGTTAACTTAGGCGTCTGTTATTGTCTGAAATTGAATGTTTGTTGGTAAGAAAAGGCCTGGTCATTTTGGGGTTTTTTTTTTAAAAGAAATATTGCATGGTAAATTAAGAGGGTAAATAAGGCTGGATTTTCAGAAGTTCAAAAGAACACAAGCACCATTAATTTTCAGTTGAAAAGAATTCAAGACTATAAAGTGCAATGTGCAGAAACTTTATGCACTTGGGGGAAGAAAGCCTGTTGACTACTATGCGGTTTAACAACTGTTCACAGATCCTACTGGGGTTTGAGCTTCAGGGTTCTCTCTTCTGTAGGGTTTACAAGCTCTTCATATTCTGCTGCCTAAGATATTACAGAGCACCATATTTATAAGTAAGTTTGCATAGGGCTGTCTATTTAAAAGGGGAAATAATTCATAGTGCTCCAAAATCCATATGCATATTCAATTTGACCTGCAATTGGGTATGTCAGTAGAAAGATAGGGATAGATACTGGGGAGCAGATTTGGGGTCATTTGGTTGAGGGGTTCCTGAGAGACAGAACCCCACAAAAACTATTTTAAGATTTGTTTCCTCTTCTAATACTTTTATCTGTTGAGCTGGGAAAAACAAAATCTATGGACAGCATCCAAAAAAATTTCTATCTCTGGACAAACCCTGCGCTCATCCAGCATCAAGATCCATCCTCAAAACTGAGTAAGTCAAACATTATTAGCCTGTCATTTTGGTTCTGCAGAGTGGTGTACAACGCTGATATAAGCTGTGCACAGAATCCCAGTAGGACTAGGTTTAAATACACACGCACACACACACACAATTTAAGGGCAAATTCTCAAAGCCCTCTAAAATTCACAGTCAGAATCAGATCATCTCCACCAGTTGAAGTGTGGGCTGGAAAGTGTGAGTTGGCAGCAAGAAGGGGCCATGTACCTGCTCAAGGTGCTTCTGATGACCTGGAAAGAGAGAGAAAGAACAGAATCATAGAATCGTAGGACTGGAAGGGACTTCGAGAGGTCATCTAGTCCAGTCCCCTGCACTTCTGGCAGGACTAAGTATTATCTAGACCATCCCTGACAAGTGTTTGTCCAACCTGCTCTTAAAAGTTGATGATGGAGATTCTGCAACCTCCCTGGGCAATTTATTCCAGCGCTTAACCACCCTGACAGTTAGGAAGCTTTTCCTAATGTCCAACCTAAACCACCCTTGCTGCCATTTAAGCCCATTGCTTCTTGGCCTATCCTCAGAGGTTAAAGAGAACAATTTTTCTCCCTCCTCCTTGTAGAAGGGAGCTCAATCCATACCCCACATTTTCCTGTCCTGTGCCCCCCCACATTTCCCTGTCCTATTGCCCCCACCCTGCCTTGTCTACACTAGAGCCTTCACAGTTATAGCTATGCCAGCAGAGCCCCCTAGTGGACACACTGCGTAAGATCACAGAATGATGTATAGCTACATAACCTCCCTGAATGACATAAACTAGGCTGGTCAGTCGGAAGAGTTGCGTCAATGCTGGGGGTTTAGTAGGCATAGCTACATCGGCTGGGGGCATGATTTTTCTCACACCCCTGACCAGCGTAGCTATGCCAGCAAAACTTTGTAGCGCAAACTACACCTTTGTCCCTTCTTTTCTTGTATCTCTGTTTAGCTAATCCCCTTCTAACAAAATCCCAGTCACTTTTTTGGAGAAACACAAAAATCGTGGCACTAACATAACATTTGAAAATCTGTTCACGCTGCATGTATGTTCTCTCTCTTTTCCCCACCCTTTGTCTGTCTTGGCTATTTAGATTGGAAGCTTTTCAGGGCAGAGCCTATTATTTCAAGTTTGTACAACTCCCAGCACAACGGGGCATGAATCTCAGTTGGCTCTTAGACTCCACTGTGGTGAAATTACAATATCAGATAAGAACCGCCATACTGGCTCAGACCAATGGTCCATCTAGCCCAGTATCCTCTCTCCTACAGCAGTCAGTACCACAATTTCAGGGGAAGTGTACAGAACAAGGTAACTAGAGTGACCCACCGTCTTCCCCTCCTGGCCATCAGAAGTGGGAAACCAAATGAAGAGATTAAAAAAAAACAAACGGGGAGTTATGTGATCCAAGAGACAGGTAAGAAAAACAAGAGTCGCTGGCTACTCAAAAAAAGAACCAGTGAATTTCAGCAGGAAGTGAATGTTCAAAGCATAGCACAGCAGGACAGGGAGGGAATAGAACCTGGTGTAACGTCACATGGGATAGTGAATCCCGTTCCCGGGGCCACAGTAGCGAAGAGATGCAGACCAACTGGAAGATGTACAAATTGACTGAGGAGCTGGATTGACTGATCTATGAGGAAAGAGTAAGACAGCTTCCAGAGATTCATAGTTTTTAGGTCAGAGGGGACGACTAGCTCATCTAACCCCAAAAAAGAAAAGGAGGCTTGTGGCACCTTAGAGACTAAAGTGAGCTGTAGCTCACGAAAGCTCATGCTCAAATAAATTGGTTAGTCTCTAAGGTGCCACAAGTCCTCCTTTTCTTTTTGCGGATACAGACTAACACGGCTGCTACTCTGAAACCTGAAACATAAGAGCGGCCATACTGGGTCAGACCAATGGTCTCTCTAGCCCAGTATCCTGTCTTCCGACAGTGGCCAAGGCCAGATGCTTCAGAGGGAATGAACAGAACAGGGCAATTATTGAGTGATCCATCCGATGTCGTCCACTCCCAGCTTCTGGCAGTCAGAGGCTAGGGCAGAGGTGGGCAGACTATGACCAGCAGGCCACATCCAGCCCGTGGGACCGTCCTGCCCGGCCCCTGAGCTCCTGGCCAGGGAGGCTAGCCTCTGCCCGGCGCCTCCCCTCTCCTGCTGTCCCCCCTCCCTCGCAGCCATGCTGCAGCGTGGGCAGCACAACTGGCTCTGTCTGGGCAACGGGGCTGCGAGCTCCTGCCGCTCTGAGCGGCATGGTAAGGGGGCCGCGGTGGCGCACATGGTGGCGAAGGAAGGTTGGGTAGGGGATCCCGGGGAGCAGTCAGGGGACAGGAGGCGGTTGGATGGGGCGGACGTTCTGAGGAGGGGCAGTCAGGTGTCGGGGAGCAGGGGGCTGTTGGACAGGGGGTGGGAGTCCCAGGGGGCCTGTCAGAGGGCGGGGGTGTGGATAGGGGTCGGGGGGACAGGGAGCAGGGGGGTTGGATGGGGGTGGAGTCCCGGGGGTCAGTTAGAAGTGGGGGGTGCTGGGAGGGGGTGGTCAGGGGACAAGGAGGTTGGATGGGTCAGAGGTTCTGAGGGGGGCAGTCAGGGGGCGGGAAGTGGGAAGAGGTGGATAGGGGGCAGGGGCCAGGCTGTTTGGGGAGGCATACCCTTCCCTACCCGGCCTTCCATACAGTTTTGCACCCCGATGTGGCCCTCAGGTCAAAAAGTTTTGCCCACCCCTGGGCTAGGGGCACTCAGAGCATGGTTTTTCATCCCTGCCTATCCTGACTAATAGCCACTGATGGACCTATCCTCCATGAACTTATCTAGTTCGTTTTTGAACTCTGTTATAGTCTTACATCCTCTGGCAAAGAGTTCCACAGGTTGGCTGTGTGTTGTGTGAAGAAATACTTTCATTTCTCCTCATATGGAAGCTGTTCCATACCCCTAATAATTTTTGTTGCCTTTTTCTGTACCTTTTCCAATTCCAATATATCTTTTTTGAAATGGGGCGACCAGATCTGCACGCAGTTCTGCACAAACGGAGAAGACCGTGCACGCCTTTAGAGGATGCCGAAACTATTTAGGGGGATACTGCCCAGGATGGTCCAGTGGTTAGAGCACTGGCCTAGAAGTTGGGAGACTGGGGCATAATTCTGTGCTCTGCCACAAACTTCTTGTGTGACCTTGGGCACATCAGTTAGTGTCTCTGGGCCTCAGCTTCCCACCCGGTGTTGTGAGGCTTAATATATTATAGCCTGCCTGTGAAATGCTTTGAGATCTACTGGTGAGAAAAGTGTTGTATAAGAATGGGGCATTATTATTATTAACAGCTCCTTCCCTTGTAGTGTGAAAGTCCATCAAACAAACAAATAGAAAAATCTACAAATGTGCTACTCTTTAGCAGAACCTCAGGGCTACAAACACCTTGGAAATGGAGGTTGCTCTGAACTCTGAAAAGTGCAGAACTCTGAACAAAACTTTATGGTGGTTCTTTCAAAAGTTTACAACTGAACATTGACTTAATACAGCTTTGAATCTTTACTTTGCAGAAGAAAAATGCTGTTTTCCGTTTTTTGGGTTTTTTTGTCTCTGCAGCTGCCTGAATGCATACTTCCGGTTCCAAATGAGGTGTGGGGTTGACTGGACAGTTCGTAACTCTGGTGTTCGTAACTGTGAGGTTCTACTGTAACTCAATATACAGCATGATACAAAGTAAGTCTGAAAGGTGGCATATGACTTCTACCCCTTGATTAGCTCATTCGGTATGTTAGTTTGGAAGCAGTAGCAGGCTCATGATTCTCTGTGTGTTTTCTGGCCGCTAGAAGAGGCCAGAAGCAGACCGACATACCCACAAGCAGAATTTTAGCCTGGATTACATTAAATTTGAAGTACCAACTATGGCATGATCCAGCCAGTGGGTGAGTGGGACAAAGAACCACACTGTGTTTGCAGAGCTTGTAACAGCATGAAACCAAGGAAGGAAAAGTTGAGGGTAATTGTCAGGGAAAACTTCCTAACAGTGAGGTGTGCTAGGCTGTGGAATGTTCTTCCTAGGAACAACAGTGAGAGCTCCCAATTCTTGAGATATTCTGGCCAAAATCCTGGGACTTGTGGTAAAGGGCATGAATGAATAACACAGCTGGTTTTTGCAGCGTCGTCATAGAGCGCCGTGTGTGGCGCAAAAGGATTATCTCTCCCCAACAGAAGTTGGTCCAATAAAAGATTCCCCCCACACACACACCCCTTTTCCCAGCTGATCTTTGACACCCATCACTTCCGTGAATCTGTGACTCAGCTTTCAAAGAGCTAAATAACAACACAAAGATCAGCAGCACACAGACTGTGCAGGAATCTGGGGGGTGTGGGGTAGCTAACACAGTCTCACCTGCAAGAATTCACTCGCTGGCTGCTGGCGCTTCCCCTCCATCTCGCAGACCAGATCGCTGAGGCAAGAGAGCGCCTTAGAGTATTTGGTGGCATTTTCATCCCTCATCTTCACAATCGCCTTGTCCAGCTCGCCCAGCCGGCCCAGGTGGTATCTTTCTTGTTCCTCCAGAAACACGCACAACTGCTGAAATTCAGACACAACCTTCTGCCTCTCAGCTTCCACTTCTTTCTGCAGTGAACATGCACACAGACAGGGAAAAGATCAGGTCAGGGACCCACAGAGAGTCGTTGGGACATTTCATAGACTCTTCTGTAGCTCTCTGCAGGATAATTACAGTAAAGGCTTTGTTATCCGGCGTGTTGGGGTAACGGGGGCTGTCGCTTAGTCAAAAACTCTGGTTAACGAAAAATTATACTTACCAACGGAATACGAATTTTCAAAGAATTAGAATACAATAAAATGAATACCGTATAAAACAGTAGACAGGTACTCACCAATCCACTCATAGTACTGCACTGCAGAGTGGTCGGTTTCTTGAAGCACGTTGGTGTATACAGGGAAAGTTTTCTATACAGCAGGTTATCTTATGACACTACATATCACTCTGGGCAGCGCATGGCGTACACCCAGATCACTAAAAATACACAACACTAAAACGATACTGAACAGAATTTAATCTTTCTGGGATGATTCAGAAGGCACTTCAGGATCTTGCAGTGCCTCCGGGACAGCATTATCAACATCAATTATCGTTGTAGACGGAGAAGGAATAGGAGATTGGGCTGAATCTGTTACGATACACCCTGGAAGCTGCTCTTTTGACTAAATCCCTGATATCAGCTTGCTGACTTGTCTTCTGTCTCTTTGCCATAAAAGCAGAGTGCAGAATGGGCAATTGCATAACCTCCTGGGCAGTATACTTGACTCAATTTTTAGATTGAAGATCTGTATTGGGAGAGATCAGAAATGCCAGTTAATAGAGCTTGCTGGTTGATAAAGTGCCGGATAACACAGTTTTTACTGTGTATGGCAACCCATAACAATACAAGTGCAGACATTTCCTGTTGTGAGTTTGTGTGTGTGGTTTTTGGGAGGGGGGTGAGGGGGTGAGAGAACCTGGATTTGTGCAGAAAATGGCCCACCTTGATTATCATACACATTGTGAAGAGAGTGGTCACTTTGGATGGGCTATTACCAGCAGGAGAGTGAGTTTGTGTGGGGGAGGGTGAGAAAACCTGGATTTGTGCTGGAAATGGCCCAACTTGATGATCACTTTAGATAAGCTATTACCAGCAGGAGAGTGGGGTGGGAGGAGGTATTGTTTCATGGTCTCTGTGTGTATATAATGTCTTCTGCAGTTTCCACGGTATGCATCCGATGAAGTGAGCTGTAGCTCAGGAAAGCTCATGCTCAAATAAATTGGTTAGTCTCTAAGGTGCCACAAGTCCTCCTGTTCTTTTTGCGAAGACAGACTAACACGGCTGCTGCTCTGAAACCTGTTGACAGAGAATTTTCTGATCGCTTCCCCAGTAGCAAAAGCGCCTCCTCTGGTCAGCAGCCTCCTTAAGCCAGATCCTCTGAATAGCAAGAAGGGGAGGAGGCTGGCCTCAGAAGGAGGGACTTCGGAGAGCAGGCATGGCAGAGAACAAGCATTATTAACCTCATTGTTTGGATGATGCATTTTTCTGCAGTCTCCATTTTCCTTCTTAGGCTCCATGTACATTTGTGTTAGCACCTAGAGCACAGGCGCTGACTTTCCGAAGTGCTCGACCCGCGGCTCTGCCCCAGGCCCCGCCCCCACCCCACCCCCAAGCCTCACCCCACCCCATCTCTGCCCGCCCCATCCCGCCCCGCCTCTTCCTGCCCCTGCTCCACCCCCACCCCACCTCTTCTTGCCCAGTTCAACCCCCTCCCCCAAGCATGCTGCATCCTCACTCCGCCCCCTTCCCCTCCAGAGCCTCCTGCACGCCTCGAAACAGCTGATCTCGGCGGGCCGGAGGCGCAAGGAGGGAGGGGGAGGTGCTGATTGGCAGGGCCTGCCAGTGGGCAGGCAACACTGGGGGGTGGGGGGGGAGCTGATGGGGGGCTGCTGGTGGGTGGTCAGCACCCACCATTTTTCCCCCATAGGTGCTCCAGCCCCAGAGCACCCACGGAGTCTGCGCCTATGCCAAGAGGCCCAGACCCATATATGTGTATGCAGTGCCTATCACAAACAAAGAATCTCTGAACCAGAAGAGAATTTGCAAAAGACAGCAGAGTAAGTAAGTACTGATCTCACTCTGAGGGGAGCATGTTACTCTTACGTTACTCCAAGTATCAGTGATGTCCTGGAGCTGATAAGCAATAACGGCACCTACCAGAAGTTCCTGGCTTTTCATTTCCCCACTCGATTGAAACGCTAGAATCTCAGCTCTCTCTTTCTTCAAAATCTCCAGGTGGCTCTGAATTTGCACCTAAGAAGTTGGGAGATGAACAAAAATAAAAATGTTTTATGAGCTCTGTTTAAACATACAACATATTTTTGAGGCTTTGCCATCAACAATAACTAATAGATTATTTTTTAGCCCTGTTGCTTATTAATATGATGTATTCATTACTGTGTTTTAAACCGGGTGCTAATGCCTACAATATTATTAGTTAGAATGTGGTAGCAGCCATAGGCAGTGACTTCTGCAGGCGCCAGTGGGTGCTTGACCTCTGCTGCCCAGCCCTGCCTCCACCCCAGCCCTGCTCCTTCCCACCCCCATTCCAACCCTTTCCCCAAAGTCCCCGCCCCAAGTCTGCCCCCTCCCTGCCCCTATTGGACTCCTTCCCCAAATCCCTGCCCCAGCCCCGCCTCCTCCCCTGAGTGCGCCGTGTTCCCGCTCCTCCCCCCTCCCTCCCACAGCTTGTTACGCCGCGAAACAGCTGTTTCACGGCGGCAAGTGCTGGGAGGAGATGCAGGGACACTGCACGCTCAGGGGAAGAGGCGGAGCTGGAGATGAACTGGGGCGGGAGGGCAGGATGCTTGGCTGCCAGTGGGTGCAAAGCACCCACCAATTTTTCCCCGTGGGTGCTCCAGCCTACGGAGTCTGTGCCTATGCTCCCGTTGACGTCTATAATCCACCTCAATGAGCGGCAGAAGTTCTGTCGCCGGGAGCGCGTCTCCCATCGACATTGCGTAGTGTGGACATGGCTGTAAACTAACCTAAGGTACATCAACTTAAGTTACGTTACATAACTTAACTAGTTCAACTTAGATTGATTTACAGCACTAGTGTAGACCAGGTCTAAGTCAGTGATACTCAGACAAGAGCGGTTCAGGAGCCAAATGAGCGATCAACGTGACCCAAAAGAGCCACAGTCATGTGAATTCATTGTTTCATTTACTACAATATTATTCATATTTAAACAGTAGGACAGGGGAAAGATTTCGTTTGAGCATTGGCCTACTAAACCCAGGGTTGTGAGTTCAATCCTTGAGGGGGCGATTTAGGGATCTGGGGCAAAAATTGGGGATTGGTCCTGCTTTGAGCAGGGGGTTGGACTAGATGACCTCCTGAGATCCCTTTCAACCCTGATATTCTATAATTCTCACAGCAAATAAATTAATAATCTGGTGCAAGTTAATAATTTACTTGGTTAATAAGATGGTAAAAAGCATGCTGATTGATTTAATTGTTAACCCTACAGTGTTTTAAGATCATGTGGTAAAGGAAGACACATTAAAGAACCACTTGTGGCTTGCCAGCTGCAGTCTAACTATCACTGGTCTAAATAGCCAAGGCAGAAGCGGGAAGGGGGAGTTACTCGTCCAAGGCCACCAGCAGGGCTAGAACAAGAATACAGGTGTCCTGAACACCAGTTTCACACTTAAACGCTGCCCCGGGCTGGGTCAAGCTGAGCAGGTGCTAACAAAAAAGAGACCAAATCTTGTGACTAAAAACAAACCCCCCTCTCAGTTGTTCAGGTCTTCCTCTTCCTTATTACCGGTGACGTCATAACCCTGTTATGGGGCTTTCAGGGAAACAAAACAAAACAGGCACAATAAGACCTAAATGCAGAATGGGGCTAGTGGTGAGAAAGCTCCTTGTGAATGGGTGTGTGTGGGGGGGGGGGGAGACGACAGAAAAATAGGAGAGACAGCAGCTCCTGAGGCTGGTAGGGTACAGCTCACTCCAAATTGGGAATCAGTTACTGCCTGGTTCCTGGCCCAATTCAGGGTGCCAGAGAGGCTGTTCCAGCCCCTCTGGGTCCCATTCTTATCCCCCAACCCAGCTTGTGGGTGAACTGATGCAGGGACAGAGCCCCCACACTATTTCCAGTGCAGAGACTCCACCCCGCACGGCAGCCCCGGTTCACCACCCCATGCAGAGTAATCCCATGCCTATGGGGGGAAAATGAGGTTTAGATCCTTTAGTGTGCGTAAAACCGTACTTTAAAAAATTCTTAGTGTATTCCCTTTAGCTATAGAGTTTGCTATGCAAGATCTCTGTAATAATGCAGTGTTTTGCCAGTGATTTCCGCTCTACTCCGTGCTGATTAGGTCTCAGCTGGAGTATTGAGTCCAGTTCTGGGCGCCGCATTTCAGGAAAGATGTGGACACATTGGAGAAAGTCCAGAGAAGAGCAACAAAAATGATTTAAAAAATCTAGAAAACATGACCTACGGGGGAAGATTGAAAAAATTGTGTTTATTTAGTCAGGAGAAAAGAAGACAGAGAAGGGACATGATACCAGTTTTCAAGTACATAAAAGGTTGTTGTTACAAGGAGGAGGGAGAAAAATTGTTCTCCTTAACTTCTGAGGATAGGACAAGAAGCAATGGGCTTAAATTTCAGCAAGGGAGGTTTAGGTTGGACATTAGGAAAAAATTCTGAACTGTCAGGGTCGTTAAGCACTGAAATAAAGTATCTAGGGAATTTGTGGAATCTCTGTCATTGGAGATTTTTAAGAGCAGGTTGGACAAACAGCTGTCAGGGATGGTCTAGATAATACTTAGTCCTGCCACGAGTGCAGGGGACTGGACTAGATGACCTCTCGAGGTCCCTTCCAGTCCTATGATTCTATGGTTCCTACCTTGTACTCCTGGGCAGCCTCTTCTATGAGAACCACCGTGTGAGCCCTGTGCTCCTTGGATCTGTCACACACCACGCAGATGGGGGTTTGATCCTCCTCACAGAAGAGTTTCAGACCCTCCAGGTGTTTCTCACACGCTCTCCCGCCTCGGGGCTCTTTGAACAGCTGCAGGCTGAGCTGTTTGGCCACCTCTGCCACGTTGGCCAGCTGCCTGTTGGGCTTGAGGTGTCTCTGGGGGAAGCTGCCCCTGCCGCAGGGGCAGGAGAGGCTGGTCTCCTGCCGTCCCAAGCACTGGGTGATGCAGGCTCGGCAGAAGTTGTGCCCGCAGTCTATAATCATCACCAGCTCTTTAAAATAATCCAGGCAGATGGAACAAGTAGCTTCCTCCTGGAGCGTTTTGGCTGGATTTGCAGCAGTCTTTGTACCCGGCTGGGCAGGTGCACACAGAGTTGAGCTGCACTTATCTGCTTCCTAAAGCCCAGGGCTGGGTGGAGCTTTCATCAGCAATCAGCCCCCTTCCTGACGATGCAAGTTGTTTTGGCCGTTGTTGCAGCAGCAGCCACTGGGCCTGCTCAAGAGAACAGAGCCTGAAGGTTTGTGTGTTTCCCAACTTCTGGCCAGCCTACACGTTTTGCTCCTGGTGGGACTGATTGGTTGCCAGTTCACTGCAGTTTGCACACACCTGGATATATGCTAGCACAGTGACACCCCAGACATGTTTTGGTTTGCCCCAGTGCAGGGGCTCTCAAACTTTTCAGACGACTGGAGTCTGATTTGTCTTGCCTTTTCCCCCAAGTTTCCCCTCACTCAAAACCGACTTGCTTACGCCATCAGACATAACCATACAAAAGCGTCACAGCACGCTAGTCCTGAAAAAGGGCTGACTTTCTCCTTGTTCCCCTATAACGATAAAATAAATCCATTGGAATATAAATAGCGTCCTTACATTTTCAGTGTATCGTCTACAGAGCAGTATAAACAAGTCACTTGTCTGTCTCAAATTTTAGTTTGCACTAAATTTTGCTGCTAGTGCTTTTTCTGCAGCCTGTTGTAAAACTAGGCAAAACGAGGAGTTGATGTACCCCCCCGGGAAGATCTCTGTGTACCCCCAGTGGGACACGTATCCCCGGTTGAGAACCCCTGCCCTAGTGTGGGCCACAAAGCAACCTCAGAGGCAAATATTTATGTCCTGGGAGAAATAGTGCTGGTGTTGCTCATGGGGCTTGAGCAGTGATGAGCTGCCAAAATCTTGACAACGGGTTCCCTCCTCACCCCACGAGGGGGTCGTTGCCCACACCCGCCCCCCCCAGGACTCCTGCCCCATCCAACCCCCTCCCCTGTCCCCTGACTGCCCCCAGAACCGGGCAGGAGGGTCTTGTGGGCCACTGTAGTGGGTGCCCACCCCACCCCTAAGAGCCGGAGGGACCTGCCGGGGGGCGAGGTGGGGAGTCCCGGCGGTGCTTACCTGGGGCAGCTCCCAGGAAGCATCCGGCAGGTCCCTCTGGCTCCTAGGGGCGGGGGAGCGTAGCTGGGGGGGAGCAGGGGGAGCAGCCGCTCCCCCCACTGATCACATCAAAAGTGGCGCCTTAGGTGCCGACTCCCTGGGTGCTCCGGGGCTGGAGCACCCACGGGGAAAATTGGTGGGTGCAGAGCCCCCACCGGGAGGGCTGAGAAGCAGGCCGCGGCTTCTTGCTCAGGCCGAGGGTGGTGGAGGCGAGCTGGGGCGGGAAGCGGTTCCCTTGCGCCCCCCCCGGGGTTACCTGCTGCGGCGCGGGCGGCCCTCCTCGCGCTCCCTCCCCCCGCCCTAGCTCACCTCCGCTCTGCCTCCCTGGGCCTGAGCGGGAAGCCGCCGCCTGCTTCTCAGCTGGTCCCGGCTTCCCACCGAACAGCTGATTCGCGGGAAGCAGTGTGGGGGGGCGCGGAGAAGCAGAGCGGGGCAGCGCGTTCAGGGGAGGAGGCGGAGCAGAAGTGAGCTGGGGCCAGGGGTGGGGTGGGGAGCTGCCGGTGGGTGCTCTGCACCCACCAAATTTTCCCCGTGGGTGCTCCAGCCCTGGAGCATCCCTGGAGTCGGCACCTAAGGCGCAACTTTGGGCCGCTTAAATTTAAAAGCCCGTTTAGAACCGGTTCTCCCTCGCGGAACAACCGGTTCTAAAAGGGCATCTAAATTTAACAACCTGCTCCAGCTCACCACTGGGCTTGAGGAGCATCTGTCTAGATTATAATATTGCCAACCTCAAAGGTTGAAAAACCATGACTCAATCCCCCGTTTCCCCCAAAAATGTTGAGCTTGGCCCCAAACCCATGAGATTAAAAAAAAAAATGGAGCAGTTTTTTGGGGGTCTGTCCTCTGATTTTTGAACTCCCTCCAGTGTGTGTCAATTAATGTTGCCCCCTCTCCCAAATGTGTGACTTTGTCTCTGCTGCAGGTGTCCATCCGCCCATCTGAATATCCCCTGCCCAGCAATGAATTCTCCCCTCCCAAAACCCAGATCAATCCTGTCCCCCACTCCCAGATCTAACTGTCACCCAACCTCCACATCTGTCCTTCTCCCTTGTCTGCCCCCCTCAGCTCCTACCTGAATTCTGCCCTCAGATCTGCTGTCATCCAGCTCCCTCCATCAGTTCTGACCCCACATCTGCCCCTCAGACCCTATATCCCCTTTGCAGCTCCTGGGGTTCTTCAACACCTGAGCCAGATGAGCAGGAGAAAGAAGTGGTCTCTCAGACCTGGCGGAGCTGCTGTAGTGGGGTCCCCGTTCCCAGGCTGCATGTTGCAAGGATGGGAAGGGGTGGGAGTGGGGGGGCAAAGCAGAGGAGCCATCCTATTGTTCATAGTAGGGGAAAGGAAGAAAAATGAGGGAATGGATTTGCCTTGAGCTGCTGGGTAGAGCTGAGCAAAAAAATCAATTTTTGATACAGTGGCCAAACAAGAAAAAAGAAAAGAAAAGAAAAGAAATTGTTGCGGGTCAACCTGAAATGACTGTTTGCTTGTTTTCTTCTCAGCAAATATTCCAAAGCCATCTCACTTAAAATGACAATCTTCTTGAACTTAATTTTTTTTTCCAACCTGTTTTTGGCAGGCAAGGAGCTGGGAAAGGATTGAGATGCAATGAAGTGAAAAAAGGGACTCAACGTTTATTGCAAAATCAGGGATATTTCTGCTAGTTACAGAAAAGCAGGAAGGACACTTTCTGAACAGAAATCCCCTCATTAACAGGCCTGGGGCATGCCTGGCACTGGGCTTTGTTTTATTCTGTGCATCTCACTGGAGTTTCCCATTGACTCACTTCACATTTATTTCATATTCCCGTTATTGCTGGGGTAGTCCCCACCCAAGCCATTGGCTTGTTTGTTAACTTGAATAAAACAGGGATAGAGATGAGGAAGGGCCAGCCCATGATGGGCCTGGAGCATCATTCTCATATGCCTCATGTCTCGTTCCCTTTCTGTCACAGAGCAGAGAGAATAGACCATACGTATGTCTACACAGCAACCAGACACCCATGGCTGGCCCATGCCAGCCAACTTGGTCTTGTGGGACGCAGCCTACCGGACTGTTTCATTGCTATGTGGACTTCTGGGCTCGGGCTGGAGTCTGAGCTCTGAGACCCTCCCGCCTTGTGGGGTTTGAGCGCCCTGCCTCAAGCTGGAGCACGGAAGTCTATACCGATATTTTTAGCTCCATAGCCAGAGCCCTGCGAGCATGTATCAGCTGATCTGGGCTCCGGACTCTCTGCCGTGGCTTTTTAATTGCTGTGTAGACGTACCCTATGCTGCTAGGAGAGTCTCCGCGGGAGCATGACCACAGAGACTAGGGAGTGAGTTACACTTCCTCAAAGCTATTTAGGTACCTATCTCTTACTGAGAATCTGGGTCTAGGAGGTTAGGAAGAGGACAAGACGAAGCTCTGAGTGAACTAGGGAGTCTTCCAGGCTCATCAAAGCTAGAAAGGAAGGGCAGATCTGCACTGCATTTTGGAGCCCAAGGGAGTGAGAGACTCAAGCTCACGGGGCTGGTGCTTGTGCTCTGAATGGTGCTGTGTGGATGGGGCTTTGAAATTTGAGGCTTGGGCTCTGAAGCCCCCTCCTCCTCCCCAGCCTTCAGGCCTGAGCTGCAACGTCTACGCACGACGTTTTGGAGCCCTCGCGCATGTCCCCGCTAGCCCGAGACCCTTGACCCAGGCTGGGATGATCCACACTGGGGCGTAGACATTCCTGAAGGGCTTGTCTCCATGCAGCACTGCACCTGTTTAGCCACACCTGGGATTGAAGCCGCATGTAGTTCAACCCCTTCAAATGCCTGCGCGGACCCTCTTAAATCAAGACAAACGATGCTTTTAAAGTCAATTAGGAGCAAGTTTAAGCTAAAGCCAGTCTTGCCAACCCCCAGTGTTCAAAAATGATGAGTCAGGGCTCCTCAAAAATCAGGAGATTTTAAAAAAAGATTGTTGTAGCAGCTAGTCATGGATCAGGACCATGTTGGGCAAGGTGCTATACAGACCCAGATTAGAAAATGACCCTTTGATGCAAAGATATTACAGTAATAAATGTTTTAATTTGTTGGAGCCTTTAGGAGTCACATTTTCAATCTTTCCTCTGCAACTCGGAGGGCTGAAAACTTCTTTTAGGTATTGAATGAATCTTCTTATTCTGTTTGTGTTATTAACGGTTAATTAATAATTACCATCACTATTATTATTTTAACGGACTGATTTAATAAGAGCGTAGATCCGATGGAATCATAAGAAAAAAAACACCAAATATCATGACAATCACAAGAAAACCACGTGTGCTGGCAACACTTAAAATTGAGCCACACCACTCTTAAACCAAATTAAGATCATCCAGACTGGTGTTTGCTCCAGGTTCAAATTAAATCAGACCCTGGTGCAAAGCCTGCATGTAGACAAGGCTGCAGAGGCTCGGGGAGGCGGTGCAGGAAATGGCTAGAGAGAGGGGCACATTTCATGGGGGGAGGGGGTCCCAGTGGGATGTTTCCCCCCTAAGCCTCAAGGGATCAGTGTGAGGTGGACCCCTCCGCCCAAGTAGAAGAAGGGGAAAATTTTTTCCCCGTTGAAGGAGGCCAACATTATAGTCGTATGGTCATCTTCATAAAATTCCACCTGCCCCCCTTCATAATCCAGACAAACCCCGATTATCCCAGGCCTCCCACTATGGGGTTGGAGGGTCTCAGAGGAGCCGAATGCCTCCCTCCGAAGCCACCAGCGCCCTTGAGACCAGATCCCATCCTCAGGGCTAAGAGTGAGCCATTCCTTCCTCTGCACGGACTCTCTGGCAACCCCCACGGCCCACTCCCTCTGATCCCCAAACTCCACCTCCCAGTAATGTCTCCCTGAAGTGAACCCCTGGGCGCCCAGTACACAGGGAGCAAGATCAAATCTTTTGGGATTCTCGGGCAAGAACTCTTGTGGTATCTCTCCTGATCGCACAGATTTCCCGTCCGCAGACACGATGAGCCACGGGTTCGCGGTGTCAGGATCCAGAATCACATCCTCTGAGAGGGGTGAGAGAGAATCAGACCGTTAGATCTGGCTGTGTACAGCACATGGGGTCCGAAAGATCTACAGATGCTGGGCTTCTCTCCCGTAGACCATCCCTGGGCAGTGCTCCAAGTATCTAGAGCTGAGAGGGCATCTGGCCAATATTGCCAGCAACCAGAGCTTCATGCGTTCCTCATGTATCTAGGCTCAACAGCCACAGCATTTGGGGTGCTCACCACCTGCATCCCAGCTGGGAGTGCCTGGGAACTGTCATCCTCGAGGAATTGCTTTAGGAGACTCCTCAACCACCAGCGTACCGGGGAAAGGGCATCCGCTCCTGTAGCCCCTTAGTGGTGGGGCTGGTCAAAAGTGTTCCTTCCACTGAAACTGTTCCAGTGGCAATTGTGGGGTTTGTTGAAACGGAAAGGTTCTGCTTTCCTTGATTTATTTTTTTTAATTGCTATTTTTTCATTGGAAAACTAAACAACATACATCCGTGCAAAAAAAAAAAACCAGCCCAGACTGATTATTTTTCCGCCGTTGGCCAAAACTTCTTCCATTTTCACTCTCCCTTCCACCTTCCCCCAGCCCAAAAATGTTGCTTTCCAGGTTGTTGTTTGTTTGCTGGCTTTTAAGAAAGGTAACATTTTTCAGCGCAGGGGCGGGGGTCGTCTCCAATTTTCCAGTCATCTCTACTTAACAGCATGGGGCCCTTCCCCTCTGCCCAAGGCCTCACCCCTCCTTTTCTGCCCCCTCTCACCCGCTGGAGCCCAGAGTGGGCACACACACACACACCCCTGTGTGCCCCCAGCCCCAGTGCACCGGCTTCAGGGAGGAGCATGGGTGGGCCATGCAAGGCTGTTTGGGGAGGCACAGCCTTCCTCGGGTTATGCTATCCACCACGCATGCAAAAGCTTCCTCAGTCACTGGAGTGCACCAGGAAACTCATCGGCACCTCCAGTGGTTGTGAGAAAGCATCACACCATGGAGTGTTTTAGGCTCAGGGTTAGGATGGATTGATTACCTTTGAATTCCTCCAGAAGCTCACTTCTCTTAGGGAAAGTCCCATGGATGAGTTTTGGATCGGGAGCAAGAGTCATCTCTGCCTGAAACTTCCCTTCTGACTGCTAGAGATAAAAACAAACCAACCAACTAACCAACCAAACCCAGAGATTGATAATGCCTCTTCATCTGATTGTTCAATCCTAACAGGCTTTATCCTTGGTCTTTGCTTTGGTGTGCAAGCGCGGCGGGGTTGGTGTAAGCTTGAGTGTGATTGGGGGTGCCATCAGGAGAGGAATTAGTAAGAGTGAGACAGGGGGTTGCAGAGGAAGATCCAGGGAGGAACATGAACGTGGTCAAGTTCAGGCTGAATATTGGACAACGTCCAGATTGTGAGATGGGAAAGAATCAGGCTGTGGAATCGTCTCCCAAGAGAACTGCCAGGAGTGGCTGCTCCATCACTTTGGAGTGTGGACACAAGACTGGACAAAAACCTAGAAAATGGCCTGCAGGGAGAAATCTTGTCCACGGGTAGCAGGTGAAACTTCCCCTGGGGAAGGCTGGCTCCCTGTCCCACCTCTTCCACCCACGGCCCTGCCCACACTCTACCCCGGGCACTGCTCAATCCCCACCCCACCAGTGGCCGTGTCCCTCCTCTCCTCCACCCTCTCCTCTGTGGAGGCATGGCGGGGTGCGGAGGGGAGAAGTCGGCGGGGGGGTCTTGTGGGGGAAGGGTGGCGGAAAGGAGGGACACGGCCGGGACCTCCAGAGTGGGGGTGGAGTGGAGGAGAGGAGGGACTCCCCAGGCAGTGGTGGGGCCTCGGGGACGGGGTGGAGCAGGGAGGGGAAGAGGTGGAGCACAGACATGGCTTAGCCTCTCCTGGCCTATTATACCCACCACCTATGATCATGCCCTAGCCCTGGGAAGATGATACGGATGGTCTAACCGTGCCTTCCCCCTCAAAATTTATGATTCCTTGCAGTCCCTAGACAATCCACTACCTGTTCTTTGCAGTGTTGTTGTAGCCGGGCTGGTCTCAGGATATTAGAGAGACAAGGTGGAATTGATTGGGCCAACGTCCAAAGAAGAGCCCTGTGTAGCTTGCAGGCTTGTCTCTCTCACCAACAGAAGTTGCTCCAATCAAAGATATTACCTCCCCCACCACGTCTCTCTGTTTCACAACCCAGCATTTCAGGAGAACACACTCTGCCATGGGCGGCAGGTATCGTAGGCAGGGGGAGGCAGTGCCTCCCCAAACAGCCTAGCGTGGCCCCCGCCCAGGCTCTGCCTCCAGGCCAGGCCCCCTCCTGCTGTTCTCAGCGCTCTGCCCTGGCCCAGGTTGGCTGGCCTGCCTCCCGCAGGGACTTAGAGTGGCTGGTGCTGGGGCCGTGCTGCCCAGCTGCCCGGCGCTCCAGGGCTGGCCACTTTGCACACCAGAGCTGGAACCTTGCCCCGTGGCCGCCCAGCGCTGGGGCCAGGGGCAGTGGTGAGGAGCAAAAGGGGGGGGGAGGGGTGGCAGAAGGGGAGGAGCCTCAGGCACTAGGGGCGGGGCCAGGGGCTAGCCTTTCCCAATGGCTGGGTCACCGGCCGCCCCTGAGCCCTGCACTTAGCGGAGGAAAATATTTTCTGTAGATTTCCATTAGCCCTAACTGCACCTAAGGGTTGGGTATCATTTTTCAAAACATGACCAGATGACTTTGTTTAGTAGTCCCTGGAAAGTCATATCCTCTCAACAGCAGGTTAGGTGGCACAAGAAGGGACTTCTTGAGACCAGCCAGGGTAGAAGAAAAGCAAACCACCACAGCTTTCATTTGAATGGTGGGACTGAGGCTCTTCACACAACACACACTGAAGTGGGCACGGTCCACACAGACGTACAAGACTTGATGGCCAGACATGCTAAGAACTCAGAGCTTCCACAGCCTCTTTGTTTATTTGCAGCTTCTTCGAGGCAATTTTTTTCATTATTTACATGAAAAAATATTTTTTTTCATAATTTTGAGCCAAAAAAAAAATGAGAATTTGGCAGTTTGGGGCTGATTTTTGTGTGTGGCAGTTTGGGGGCAAAACTTTTTCAAGTGTTGGCACCTTTTGGGGGGCTGAATATTTTTGGTGTGTATCTGAAAACTGAAAAATAAATCAGGTTTTCATTTTCTTTTAAGTCAAAATTTTCTGTGGAGAAAACAGACATCCCAATTTCCAGGCAGTTCTATTATTTGATACTCTTCCCAGAAAATAAAAAAAAAAATAAAGTACACTCTTGTTAAAAAGCAGGAATCAGCATTCAGAGACTTCACAAACCCATCCTGAGCAGACAGATTGTAATCCCTGTTAGAGACAAACCAGACGTCTGCTCTGATCAGAGGCTGTACAGCCGAGTCAAAGGAGCCCTCGCAAAGCAGTAACAAATTGACCAAACACACAGCCCACCAGATCCCTTACCTCCAAGCACAGGGTCTGCAGCTACTTCTCCGAAACTCCCCAATAGCCTTCTCAAGGACTCTGGTTTGCAACTGGCTTATATACCTAGCCTCACAAACCCTCTGTTCCCAGCTCTCTCCCAGATTGCGAAACAAAATATATGTCCAGTTCGACAGGATTCCCCGCACGCCTGTTTGAGTTGAAGTTTTTCTGGCGAAAGATCTCTCTGCGCTCAGGGGAGGAGGTGTTTCTGCCTGGTTCCTCTGAGCACTGGGTGATGCAGACTCAGCAGAATTTGTGCTCATGGTTTGTAAACACCAGATTTCATACACAATCCCAGTGGTGCTGGAATACATTTAATAGTTGGGGTGCTGAAAGCCATCCCCCTTTCCCCTGTCTGTCCCCTATCCACAGAGCTGGGCCTGAGAGCAGAGTCATTTCTCTGGAAGGGTGGGACATGGATGGGGCCACAGCTGAGGGCAGGCGTTGGGCCAGCAGCAGGACCCTGGGCACAGGGCTGACAACCAGGACCCCAGGCGCGGGGCTGGGAGCCAGCATGCGGGACTGGGACCAGAGCCTCGGGAGCAGGGCCAGCAGCCAGGACCCCACATGGGGGCCAGAAGTGGAGCCCGGCTGTGGGGCCAGCAGCTGGGACCCTGGGTGGGGGTCTGGGAGCGGAGCCCCATGTAAAACCCCTGCACCCCAAATCCCGCGCCTATGTACAATCTAGACAGCTGGGTGAAACAGCTTCCTGTTGGAGTATTTTCCTCGATTCACAGAAGGCAGAACTCCTTCTGTGAAGTTCAGTTCCAATCTCCTCTTCACAGAAATTAACTGAGCCTTGAGCAAGGTTTCCTGGAATGGTCTTGTGCATGTCCTTTGGCTGATTGCATTGTGCCAATTTGAATCAGTCTGTAGGTCAGAGTTAGAGACTTTGGATGACTCAAACAAGAATACCCCATGAGGTAGGGGGGCCACATTGAGAGATCACTAGACTGGGCCTTAGGAGACCTGGGCTGTAGTCCGGATGACCTTCCTGCCTCAGCTTCCACACATGTCAAACAGCGATGATGCGAATAACCTCCTTTGCAAAGTGCTACATAAGAGCTAGATATTATCATTAAAGTGCGTGTGTTCCCCGAAGTTGGAAAAGCCACATTCACCCGTGGCATAACTCCTCGGCAGCCAATGGTGTTATCGCTGGGATGCATCTGACCCTGAGGAAATCCCTCCATGCAGATCAGAATGCAAACTCCTTGCTTTGCCTGAGAGGTCCATTGGCCATTGACCCTTGGAAGCAAAGGGTTGATGGCCCATTGAAATCAACAGTGAGTCTTTCCACTGATCGTCACAGGTGCTGGATCTTATCAATTAAATGGCACAATGACCTGATGTAGGGTAGGGAGACACACGCTAAGCGAGTGCAATTGCTACCATGTTGGCAACACTTGTGCACCATCGCTTGTGGACCTGGGGGGTGGCACTAACATAACACATGCTCGTGATGGTGCAGGTGTAGCAAATACCAGATCTAGTGTAGACTGACTCCAAGAGACAACTCTAGGCTTCCCCGCCTCCCCACAGAGAATGTTCCTACTAGGGAAAATCTCCACGCTATTCCAGTGCTTCTCAAACTGTGGGTCGGGTTGGGACCCCAAAGTGGGTCGCAATCCCATTTTAGTGGGGTTGCCAGGGCTGGCTTAGACTTGCTGGGTACTGGGGCAAAAGCCCAAGCTGAGCGCTTCCGCTCTGGGTGGCGGGACTCAGGTTACAGGCCCCCTGCCTGGGACTGAAGCCCTTGGACGGTGGGGCTTTGGCTTTGTTACCCACACAAAATTCTCTGTCACTTGCTCACTCTAGGGCACCCACCTTTACCCAGTTCCAGGGCTCAAGGCTTCCACCTTTACCTAGTTCCTAGGGTTCAAGGCGTAACCCTCTTAATTTAGGCACTCATTTTTATCCCGTTCCTAGGGCCCAGGCATAACCGTATGCTCTAGGGCACCCACCCTTACCCAGTTCCTAGGGCTCTGGCGTAACCCTGTCAATTTAAGCACCCATTCCCTCCGAGCTCCGGGCAGACACCAGTTCCCTCTGGGCCCCAGGCTTAATCTTTTGTGGGCTTACGGGGTCTTTTACCAGTGAAAGAGTCTTACACAGTAATATCCTACTTAACATCTATTTATTAACAATTACCAAAACCAGAATACAATGCTACACATACAATAAGGCAGTAAGGCAGATGAACTTTTCTTGATGGCCAGTCGGGATCAGGTCCATCTGGGGGACTCCAGTTTCTGCATGGTGTCATTGCCAAAGTGTTGAGGTCTGGCAGCTCTGATCTTTGGGACTGTGTCCTGGAGTTGGTTCCCCAAAGAACTTCCTTTTGGACCCCAGTTTTTATAGTGAAACTTGAGTCCTGCTTAGCTGTACCTCAACCAATCATTTTACTAAAATTTTACTAACCAATCCTAACAAAATTCTCCAACCTGCTTAGCTGTACCTCAACCAATCATTTTACTAAACTTTTACTAACCAATCCTAACAAAATTCTCCAACCAATCATAACCCAAAACCTTAATTAATTTACACCTAGCAAAATTAATTATATGGCAGACAGAACCAATCAAAGGACCAGACAGAGATCATACAGACAAACAATAGGGAAGTGGGGACCATAATGACAAAACAATACAGAAATGAGGATTTCCCAACCACAACTACTGATAAGTGGTCTCTTGCCAGACAGGATGCCATCAAACTAAGTTTTCTTTAACCATCTTAAGATCTGTTTCTTTATCTGGTGATAGTAGGTGCCATTGGGACAAGATCTCCTTCTTAACAACCTGATATTACATTGTTTTAATCTAATTTAGATGGAATGTGAGGATGTGACTTCCTGCTTCTCAGCTAACGGCGGCTGCTCTTTTAATCTGGCTGCAGACAAAGGCAGTAGGCTTTCAGCCTTACGATAAGGCTATAGGCCAAACAATATGGTATCCGATGAAGTGAGCTGTAGCTCACGAAAGCTTATGCTCAAATAAATTGGTTAGTCTCTAAGGTGCCACTAGTACTCCTTTTCTTTTTGCAATATGGCTACAGGAAAAGGCCTTATCCTTACAGTTCCACTCCCCTACCTGGGGTGGTAGGGCTCGGACAGGCTCAAGCTGCGGCCCCACTCATGGAGTCCTGTAGTAATTTTTGTTGTCAGAAGGGGGTCGTTGTGCAATGAAGTTTGAGAACCCCTGGGCTATTGTATAGCCAGAGAATAGTGATTGTGAAGGGGCAGCTAAGGATCATTCACTGAAGGGTAGAAAATAGAGTTGGTCAAGAAATGTGGCTTTTTGTTTATTTGTTTGTTCCCCTTCCCCCTCCACTTGGGTTAATTTTACACAGAAAAGGGGGGAGGTTGCCTACGTTCTGAGTGGAGAATGTTGCCTTTTTTGTAAAAACAACAGCAAAAAAACCCCCATGAAAACCAGAAAACTCACCAGACAGCAAAACATTTCAGCTGAAAAATGCACCAAACCACACAGGATTTTGGCTAGCAGCATTGCTGCAAACTGGAAAACTTTCGATTTGGGGGTGACAAAAATAAATAAATAAATAAATAAAGTAAATATGAGGAAAGCAAACAGCCATTTTGTGCAAGAAAAAAAAAGTGAATTTCATCAAAAATCCAATTTTCCAGTGAAAAGAGGTTTTGATGGAAATATTTGACCAACCCTAGTAAAAATCATCTCAAGAACATTGTGATTCTCATTAAAAACCTATAAAAAACCCTGGTAAAGACTGAGACTGTATTGCATAGACAGGCCAAATAAACAGGGATGGCTGATTGGGGACAGCAGCCGTAGGCCCAGTTTATAAGATGATGCAACATATTTGCATCTAGTTTCCTTCTAGGATCCAGTTCCCAGTGCAACAATACCTTATCTGGGAGGAACAATTGCATCTCTCTAGCCCTGCTAGTTTTTCCTGTCCCTAGTGCCACATACTTTCCCTGAGAGCTTTTACCAGTTTGAGGGCAGGGACCAATTGTCCTCTGAGAGATGTCAAAGGATAAGACCGAATCTCCCTCATTTGGAGCGTCTTTTCCTGTGTTTTAGGGAGCCCCTAGGGATTAGAATTAGATGAAAAATGGGGTGGGGGGGGGAGTTGCATTAAAATGAAATTTCCAAGTTATTTTCATTTCAAAGTGTTTGGAAATACCCAGGTTTAGAACTCTGTTTTTCTCTCTCTCTCAGAAACTTTCTTGGAAATGATTGAGATCCAATAAAGTGAGTGGTAGGTTCTGTAAAATCAGGGGTATTTCTATCAAATACAGAAAAGCAGGGGAAAGTGACTTACACAAAGAACAAATATGACACATTTTAAACACAATTCCCCCACGAAATAAACCTCGAGTGAGATGCACACAGAGCATGTTTTTATTCTGTTGTATCTCACTCACTTCACTTTTGTTTCATGTTGTTCCCATTATTTCTGGTGTGTGCACCACACCAGCTGTTGGGTCCTTTGCCTAATTGCTTAAGCAGAAACCACAAGGTATGATGGGTCGTTGGCATTTGTCCTGTGTTCTTCATGTACTTTAGTCTTTCTATCACACATTCGATTGGTCAGTGGGGAAAAAGAAAAAAAAAAGCAAAAAGCCTGGACTGAGGCTTTCAAGCATCTGCTGTGGATTAAAAATAAATGCGGAAACCAACCTTCTGCTTCCATTAATACACTGACCTCAAAAGGAGTCCCACACAGCAAACCAGAATGTGTTATAAGAACGCTTTTAATGACCAGTTTCCCAGGCATACCGTACGTCTACACTGCCATAAAAGACACGCAGCACAAGGGCTGGGTCGAGGCTTGCGGGGCTGACTGAGGCTTGCAGGGCTATACAATTGCATTGTAGACATATGGGCTTGGGCCAGAGCTTGAGCTCTGAGCTCCCACAAGAGGGGAGGGTCTCAGAGCCTGGTCCCACACATCTAGGCTGCAGTTCTAGCCCTGCAGCTCAAGCTTGTGTCAATTAACCTGGGTTCTGAGACTTGGCGTTGTGGGGTTTTATCACAGTGTAGACATAAACCATAGAGTCTAGGCACCAAGGGACTAGGAAGGGCCCATTTCTCAATTACAGTGAGGCAATTATATATAGGGGAAACTCAAGAAACTCTTGACTGTCCCCAAGTGAGCTCAGCCATGAAGGC